TGCGGTGGGCGTGGAACCGCATGCGAACGCGGCCGCTTGGGCCTTCGGTTGGGCTCCCTATGGGGCCACTAAGCGTGTGAGGGGAATACCAACATAGACATGCGGTGGGCGGGGAACCGCATGCATGCGAACGCGGCCGCTTGGGCCTTCGGTGGGGCTCCCTATGGGGCCACGAAGCGTGCGATGGGGGATGCCAACATGAACATGCGGTGGGTGGGGAACCGCATGCGAACTCGGCCGCTGGGGCCTCTTGTGGAGCTCCCCATGGGGCCGCGAAGCGTGCGAGGGATGACGTGGGGAGGGCAGAGTCAGAGATGGGAGGAGGGAGCGGGAGGGGGAGTGAGGAACGCAGGGCGGTATCTCTTCAAGCCAGGACCCGACACCAGAGGATGCTTGGGAACAGGCAAACGTGGCTCCCCCTAGAATGAGCCAGAGCGCGCGCGCACTGGGCTCGAGAACGTCGATGATTACCTAACAGCGAAGACTGATAGGTTTCTAATGGTCTCAAACGACAGCATCATGACTCCCCAGGGGGGTCCGGGCAGGATCCGGGGAGAATCCGCGGATCCGCCAGTGACTATGGGGAACGCACCACTGAGGCTGAGGCTGAGGCCCCCAGCGCCGCCAGTGACTATGGGGAATGCACCACTGAGGCTGAGGCTGAGGCCCCCAGCGCCGCCAGTGACTATGGGGAACGCACCACTGAGGCTGAGGCTGAGGCCCCCAGCGCCGCCAGTGACTATGGGGAATCCACCACTGAGGCTGATGGGGAATCCACCGCTGAGGCTGAGGCTGAGGCTGAGGCTGAGGCAGGCTGAGGCTGAGGCTGAGGCAGGCTCAAGCTGAGGCTGAGGCTGAGGTTGAGGCTGAGGCTGAAGCTGAGGCTGATGCAGGCTGAGGCTAATGCAGGCTGAGGCCGAGGCTGACGCAGGCTGAGGCTGAGGCAGGCTGAGGTTGAGGCTGAGGCTGAGGCTGAGGCTGAGGCAGGCTGAGGCAAACGCTATGGCAGGCTGATGCTGAGGCAGGCTGAGACTGAGGCTCAGGCTGATGCAGGCTGAGGCTGAGGCAGGCTGAGGCTGAGGCCGAGGCTGAATGCAGACTAAGGCTGCACACGCTGAGGCAGGCTGATACTGAGGCAGGCTGAGATTCCCGGGTTATTTTTTGAATGCGAGGAGCCAACTGTCGCCCACTTCGTGTTCTTCGTGCTCACAGAACACACCTCGGGCTCCCCGCCGTCAATGCGCAACTCCCACCTGGGGTTCAGGAGGAGTCGGAGGGGGGGAACGGGTGGGAGGAGCAGGGGGACGTGCAGGAGGAGGGAAGGAGGAGGCCGAGCAGGAGGACGAGGACGAGGACGAGCAGGAGGAGGAGGAGGATGAGGAGGAGGAGCAGGAAAAGGAGGACGAGCCGGAGCAGGAGGAGGACGAGGAGGGGGAGGAGGACGAGCACGAGGAGGAGGACGACCAGGAGGAGGAGGAGGAGGACGGACGAGCAGGAGCAGGAGGAGGACGAAGAGGAGGAGGACGAGCAGGAGGAGGAGGAGGAGGAGGACGACCAGGAGGAGGAGGAGGAGGACGAGGGGAGGGCGGCCGGCTGCCCCGGCCGGCTGCCCCGGCCGGTCGCCGCGCAGCCATTTCGGCCTTCGGAGGAGGAGGCGGGGGAGGAGGGGGAGGACGAGGAGGGGGCGCTTCGGCTCGGCGCGTTCTGACCACCTCCGCAAATCTCTGGGGCGCCCCCCCCCGCCGCGAGAAGCGGTCACGGGGGGGGCGCCCTGGCCAGGGCGCGTTCTGACCACCTCTTCGATCATCCTCCTTGATCCTCCTCTCCTCGATCCGCCGTCGTCGCCGTCGTCGCCGTCATGACGGCGACGACGACGACGACGCACGCCCCTCCAGGGCGCCCCCCCCGCCGCAAGCAGCGGTCACAGGGGGGGCATCCTGGAGGGGCGCGTTGTGTCTCCCTCTCTGGATTCTGGAGCGCCCCCCCCGCCGCGAGAAGCGGTCACGGGGGGGCGCTCTGGCCAGGGCGCGTTCTGACCACCTCCGCAAATCTCTGGGGCGCCCCCCCCGCCGCGAGAAGCGGTCACGGGGGGGGCGCCCTGGCCAGGGCGCGTTCTGACCACCTCTTCGATCATCCTCTTTGCTCCTCCTCCTCGATCTTCATCCGCCTCCTCTTCCTCCTCCAGTGCCATTCGGCTCAGGTTAAGGACGTAGGTTCAAGCAAAACCCACCAGCTCAAGCCATGGACGTCACTCACGCGTCAGGCGGAGCTGTCCGTGGCAGTGGCGGCGACCGCTTGCGAGCCGCATTGGCCGGTGGTGATGGTGGTGCTTCTCAGCCCGCCACGCAGGAACTCGTCAATGCGATTCTGCAGCTTGGCCACCTGCCTACCCAATCGGGCCGCTCGAACGCGGAGGAGAAGCGGCTTGCCGCGGGTCTCATCAGAGCACGGAAAGCAGAGACGCTGAGCTCGCAGCAGGAGGCGCAGCTCCGCGCGCTGCCGCCTGCCACGAGGGTTCACCCCGAACGCTCTGGTGCCAGCGCCGGCGCCAGCAAACAGGCGCAAGCCAGCGCCAGCGCCGTCAGGGTGGATGCGGCGGCGGCGCTTCTCTGACTGCTGCGGCAGGCAGCGGTGCTTCTCAGCCTGCTGCGCCAGCGGGAGCAGGAGCTCTCGCCAAGCAGAAGGCGCAGCAGAAGGCATACCTCAAGCGGAGACAGAAGACCGAGGACCTCGCGCAGCAGGTGCGGGACCTCGGCCGGCACCCGAAGGAGAACGCCGGGCGTGGCCCCGCAGAGCGGCAGTTGGCGCGGGAACTCCGCGACGCGCGGAAGGCGAAGCAGTTCTCGCCAGAGGAGGAGGTCGAGCTCCAGGCCCTGCAGCAGGCGAAGACGGGGACCGAGGAGCTCATGCAGCAGAAGACCGAGGACATCCTGCAGCAGGTGCGAGACCTCGGCCGCTACCCGAAGGAGAATGCCGAGCGTAGCCTCGCAGAGCGGCAGCTGGTCGAGAAAGTCCGGAAAACGCGGAAGGCGAAGCAATTCTCCCCGGAGCAGGAGGCCGAGCTCCAGGCCCTCCAGCAGACGGAGAGCGATGCCAGAGCAGCGGCTCGCATCGCGGAGGCGGAGGATCTTCCAAACCCCATGGAAGCTTTCGCTGAAGAGGCGCAGAACAGGATCGACCAGGACCGGTTCATGCTCGCGAGTGGCATCCGGACCAAGTCAGGGTCGTCGGCCGCGCCCTCGCGGCCTAGACGCCGAGCCGTGAGCTCGCTCGTTCGAGTTCGCTCGGTCGGGCTCGCTCGCTCAAGATCCGGCCCGGGACCTGCCCGCCCGCGCGCCGCTCGCCCGCGCGCGCGCCCGCGCGCGCGACCCTCTGCCCGCGCACCCGCCCGCTCGCCGCTCGACCGCCCGCCCGCGCGCCCGCCTGCGCCCGGCCAGGCTGAGCGCGGACCAGGCTGAAGCAGGCCGAGGCTGACGCTGAGGCAGGCTGAGGCTGAGGCTGACGCAGGCTGATGCTGAGGCAGGCTGAGGCTGTGACTGCGACTGCGACTGCCGCTGCCGCTGCGACTGTCATCGCGAACGCGACTGCGACTGCGAGGGCAGCTGAATTCTACAACTGGATTATCATATGAATCTTAAGGGTGATGCTTCCATATATGCTCCTACACGTCGCTGTTAGGTTGCTTTGCCGGGATAGTGTATGTGGTAAGTTATATTGTTCGTTGCTGAAAGTTCCATGCAGGAGCAACGTTATGGACAGGTTTTGGCATGTGCGCTCGGCGACTCGCGCGCGTGGAGTTTCCCGAGCTTGTTTGCTCGGGACTATCGGCTGATGATTTGCTGGACGCCCGGCGAATTCCACACGTGCTGTGCCGGTCGAAGTGCCAGGCAGCTGCTGGACAGCAAGCGTTTCACCGAGCTGGGCCGATGACGTCTTGCTCGCGGTGCGGGGCCACGGCGGTACAGCTCTCCAGACAAATCTCAGAAGGTCGTCGTGGTGGTCCACATTGCACATTGGAGAGACTGCCCGCATTGCTGCCTTCAGCAGAAGTTCAATGGATGTCACCCGCCCCAAGAGCGGTCAGCTTGCAGGCCTTACCCGCCTGTTCAGGTTCGGAAAAGCCCACGAACCGGCAAGGCCGCCACCCTTTCTTCGATGATGGCGGTGGTGCCCCGTCAGGTGCGTCCCGGCCACGCGGGTTTCCCGCGAGGGACGCGAACACGTTCTCTCAAATGGGTGAGAAGGGCTAATAGCAGTAAGTCGGGCGTGTGCCTGCACAGGGGGAACATTCCAAAACCGTCAAAAAAAAACGTTCGCGGACGATGTATGGACTATTTTTACCAATTTGTGTTTTGTGGGTCGTCTCTTATTTTTCGTTCAAAATTCCCCTGTAGGGGACTTGCCCGACCTAGGGTTCGCATGCCCTTGTGACCGCGGCTATACCTCGGCCAGAAGCGGCCGTGCCCAGGGCCACGCCCCGACCGCCCCTAAAAGGCGCCCAAGGAGAGGGAGGAGGCGGAGGAGGAGGGCGAGGTGGGGGGGAGATAATCATGAGAAAGAGGGAAGGGGAAAGGTAGGAGGCGGAGTGGATGAGCACGAGGATGATGAGGACCCTGGTGCCTCCTTCCCCCGTTTCGACCAGACCCAGCTCTGGGGTCTTCGTGCTGCTTGCCGCTCGATGCAGATTACCAAGGCCATGCGCGAGCACAGAGATCGTCACAGTGAGGGGGCCGAACGGTCACGCGCGCGGCTGAACTGAAGTTCTGCGGTGCGTATTGTTATTTGTTTGTTTGTTTGTTGTCGTCGTCCCCCCCGCGACCCAGCCCGCGACCCACCCGCGCCCCTTCCGGAACCCATCCGCGACCCACCCCGCGACACACTCCGCGACCTACCAATTTTGGTTTTACGAAGATTTCGGCGCCTGCGGCGGGCTCGTTGTATAATTTGTAAAAATTCGGCGCCTGCGGCAGGCATGTTCAGATCTTCGCAGGCTGCCGACGTCCCCGCCGCCCCCTCACTCTTATCCGTAACTGCGGAGGGCTATGCGTATTTCTGGCGACATGTTTCCCAAGTGCTGAGCTTCGCAAGTTTTTTTGTCACTGTATGAAGGCGGATATCCAGGAAATGGTCCACATTTGCTTTTTCCCCTCCGAGGCGGGGCTCCCGCCGAAGTCGGGGACGCTCTTCCTGAGCGGGTGATGCGACCGTGTGTTTCATGCGACCTGGGCTCCGCTCACCTTGCCGAGTGCCCTGTGATACTCAATCCCGGCACCCCGCCCGCGGCCCGCCAGAAGACGGCCTGGCACGAGCATTGTGACGCCAGCCTGGGCGGCGTCCGGGACCCTGGACGCCACTGCCCGAGCGCGCCCCGTTCGTGCCTTCGGCGGCCATCTGGTGGCCCGTGGCAGCCTTTGGCTGCCGTCGGCGGCTCCCGGCGGCCCTCGGCGGCCCTCGGCGGCCATTTGCGGCCGCTTGCTGCCGTCGATTCGGTGGCCTTTGGCGGTCTGGGCTGCGGCTCGGAGGTGGTCGCCACCGCCACCGCCGACGGCCTCTTTCTTTGGCGTCGGCCTCTCCTCCTCCTCTTCCTCCTCCTCCTTCTACTCCTCCTCGTACATCATCCTCTTCCTCCTGGTGACTTTTCCCGGTCGCTCCACCTTCCAAATCGGTGGGTGGGCTGGGCGTTGCAGCTGAGACACCACAGCATTCATCATCTTGAAATCGGGACTCCGCTCATCTACGCGGATATATAAGCTCACATAATGGATCTCTTGTTTGGGTGCCGTGCACATCTTTAAAAGGGACATGCTCATGGACGGACGGATGTTATTTGCCAAAGTGTTCACATTATCGCCGCGCACATACGTCTAATATTGTGCAACAGTGACACGTATGGAGGAGAGTCAACATGGAGTTCTAGATGTAGCGCTGCGCAAATTCGTTCTGAACGTCTGCATCAGTTGCGCTGACGTAAGGCGGTTGGTTATCTAAACGAGTTGATCGCCGTGGTTCCGCGCGCGATCTTCGCAAGCTTTGAAACATCTTCACGGGTGGTGGGCGGTATAGTTTCGAAGTGGTGAGTATCGTTGATCAACTGTCACATTTCTAGGGTAACATAAACTACGATATTTTCATGGATGGGTTCATGGATGGGATCTCGTTTCAGATTTCGTCACAGTCATCAACAAGTTTTGTAACATTGTGCAAGAGCCCCACGCATGGACGGCGACTCCGTTTCTACAGGGCCTCTCCGTGGACGCGCATTGAGTTTAGTACACCTATGTTGCTGCTGGTACGGTGGGTGTCTTTTTTCAAAGCGGGGCCTTCGCCCGAAAGGCAGGCCCATGGGGCGATCATCTTTCGGAGGAGCGCTCCCCGCATCCATGACGAACCGTCCGCAGTGAGTCTGTGTCTGTGTTGTTGTACGTGAAGGAACTGGTGGACACGACGCCCTTCTTCTCGGGGTTCCTTCCGAAGGCATTTCCCCAGATCTTCGCTTGTGTTCCTCGGGTTCCTCGCCGGGGCCTCTTGCTTTGGTTCGTGGGATCGTCGAGGTTCCCCAAGCCATGCCAAGCAACGCAACGCCAAGCAGTGCAACGCAATGCCAAGCAATGCGTCCAAGCGGTGGGCAAGTCAGCACTCGAGCACCGTGCGCCTTCCCGTGCCTGTGTACTTATGCGTGAAGCTTTCCCGTAATCGGGGTCGCGCCGAGTTCATTTGCAGGGAAAGCGGCGAGGGAGGGGACTTGGGAGGGTGTGTTGCGGCATCGTTGGTACGTCATGGGTTTGTTATGGTATCTGTCCTCGCTCCTCGTTCTTCTCTTCACCCCCATTCAAAAACAGCTCAGACACACCCTCTCCGGAAAAGGCGAGCATGGAAATGCGTGGAAGAGGCGGGAGGTGTTCGGCATGTCCTCGGGGTAGAGTGGTGCCCATGATTAGTAGTTGCAAGAATGGAAGAAGAGAGAGGACATGGACGCGAGGAGGAAGAGGAGGAGAGATCAAAGGGAGCCTCGGGGTGGTCCAGGGGGCATACGTGAGCGGGGCCTCGAAGGGCGATCCTGCTGGGCCCTACATGGAGACGTTGCAATGGGCGTCTTGAGCCCGTCGTGGGGTAGAGGAGGACCCATCTCTCCAGGCCTCGTGAACAAAGACACGACGAGGCTCCGGGGCGGTCTTGAAGTGCGGGCTCCTCCTACCCCCCTGTCTTCTTCTCCTGCCCTGTCTCTTCTTCATTATCCTCCTTCTTGACGGGTGGCCCCCCATCATTTAGCCCAGTTTCTCCAATGATTGCTATGGAGGCGGCCCGCTCGTGTCCTAATAGCACAGCAGGTGCAATCATCCTACTACTCCTGAGCTTAGTACCCTTCACCGAGTGCGAGAGGTAACGCCTCACGTATGCTTCAATAAGGCGGAACGCGTGTTGGGGGAAGTGTTCGTGGGGCCGACATGTTTTTTTAAGTGGCAGTTCCTCGCGCATCGAGGTAATTCGTCATAGGTTCACGCATCCTCTGTTGTGGTAGTGTATACATACGCAGCATGACACGTACCTACGGCATGGCCACCGCTTGACCCAAGAGCGGATCTTGCAAGGACCATTTTGGTTTGCTGGCCATGCGTTTGGCTCCCGCGGGGCTGTCCCACATCATCCCATGCAATGTCGTCGGATTCCTTTGGCGTGCGTGGCGGCTGTCTGAGTCATACAGATGAGAGTCATATTTGCTTCCAGGACGCCTCACTTTTAATGCGCGAAGGCCATTGACAAACATTCAAGACATACCAGATCGAGTGTTGTTGCTTTGTGGGAAGCCGACCGAACTCGAGACCGCTCATTTCGCGGCGGTGGCGAGAGAGGAGGAAAGGTCACAACACATATAATGGGACGGTAGATGTTTTCGATGTTTGTACCACCCATTTCGGTATGGGGTGGAGGGCGTTTGCCAAACTAGCGATTGGGCGGCGGTAGAGGGTGACATCGCGTCTGACACACTCGCCCGCGCGGGTCTTCTGGCATGAATCGGGGCTTGCAAGCATCGTGCTAGTCTTGTAGCGGCAGCTCGACGGAGAAACGAGAGTGGCCAGAGCGGGTGTAGGATGGGTTATCGGATGATTGAACGTGGAGACGGATGAGGAGGTGGAGTGGAGGAGCAGGACTGTTCCCCTGGACCCGAGAGCGATTACCACGTATGCTGAGCTCGCCGTGGTTGCTGATCTGACCGATATCTTGGGCAGAGCGTCCAGGTGCAAGCCGTCGGTAGGCATGAGCGCGATCATCATTGATGAACGCGACGTTGATCCCGAGGGTCTCGAAACGCGAGTATCTGAAATAAGATCATTTGATGGAGTCCGCCCCTTTTCGTGACAGGTAGGCGAGAGGGGGTCCCTCTCCGTAAGCTTGGAACTGCCGGAACGCCCGATCCTCCTCGCCACATCCTCTTCTCCTCCGCATGTGCTGTCTTCTCCTCCCCGTCCTCATCGGGGGGAGACTCTCGTGATCGAGGTCCTCGCAGGGCTTCCGACATCGCGCGACGAGGGGAGGGCAAGGATGACGACATTTTGGATGCATCTCGGACGGCCGCCGAGGACGTCTGGTGGGTCGGGGTCGAGGTGGAGGGCTTCTGGGAAGAACGTGAGGGCCTCTTTCGAGATTCCGAAGGGCAGAGACCCCGGCATTGCGAGGAGATTAACCAACGGCATCGGGCCCGCGTGGACTTGCCGAGGGTGTCTTGAGGGCATCCGGAAGCAGATCGCAGGCCCCCGTCGGCCATTTCGGAAGCCCCCTTCGGCCATCTTGGAGACCTCCCCGGCCTGTCCCAGGCATGCAATGTCTTGATGTTGTTGAACACGGGGCCTTGGAGGTCCCGACCCTTTCCCCAGGGCCGGTTTTCACGCCGAGCGAGGGCCCGGACGGTGATCACGGCAGGGCAGCATGCCCGTCATGATCTCTCCACGGCGCGAGCATGTCTGGGGTTGAGGTCTCCGATGCCACTCTGGAGGCCCGGCCGCCCTTCTGTGCCCTGGCGAGGCCACGACGACGCCACGCTCGAGGCCTTCTGCACGCAGTGCCCGCCCTCCCCGGGGAGCGCGGGGGAGGAGGTCCTCCCTGCCCTCCGCGCCGCAGCACGGTGACAGCCACAGCACGGGGGGGGGGGAAGAAGGAAAGGAGGAGGAGGAGGAGGAGGAGGAGGAGGAGGAGGAGGAGGAGGAGGAGGAGGAGGAGGGAGGAGGGAGGAGGGAGGAGGGACTGCCAATTGGACTGCCAAAGTGCAGAGTGCCCCTCGGGGCTTCTGCCGCTCCGCCGCGAGCGCTGCCGCCCCGGAGGGCCCGTGCGCCAGCGCGGCGGGGTCAGCGGGCCTGGGCAGTCCAGGGACGCGCCTCCCAGGAGCGGCACTCGCCAGGCCCCACGTTCGCCGAGAGCGAGAGGTGGATCACAGGCATGTGCCTCTACCCTCCGCCCGCCAGATCTGGAAGAAGAAAGGACGGACGGCATCAACATTAGCTTTTGGCGCTCCGCGCGGATTTCTTGGATCCGCGTTGGTCCCCCCTCCCTGGCGCGCGGAGCGCGCTAGGGGCGGCGCCGGAGGTGCCGCCGCAGGGGCCCCGCGCGGATCCAAGAGATCCGCGCGGAGCGCCAAGTTTTTGTTCATGGCGTCTTTCTTTTTCGACTGTAGACGCCTTTCCTGGCCAGTGCGACGCGAGGCTGGATAGTTCCACTTGAGGGGAAAAGTTGTATAGACATAAGTCGGGCATGTCCCTCTAATTACAGGAGGGGTACTCAAGAATATAAGCAACTAGTATGGTTACGATGTTTCGTTTATTTCTTGCTGCCTTGTTTGATTGTATGTTGTGGATTCTTGACTCGTCTTCAGCATCCGCCTGTAGAAGGACATGCCCGACCTACGCATAAGCAAGCATAAACGTGCAGTGGCCCGCGCGGATTCCTCGGAGCGGCACTTCGCCGCCCTGGCGCCGCCCCCATGGCGCGCGCCGGGGGGGCGGCGGATCTTCGAGCAGTGGCGAGGCGGCCTGGCTTGCCCATAGGCCCACCAAAGCATGTGGCATGCACAACAGGACTGTCTTGTTTCACCACGCGTCGGGCCTTCTAGGAGCAGTGCTTCTGTTATGAGAACACTTCTGGGTTCTAAGAAACGTTTCGTGGTAGACCTATCGGGATGTCCGGACGGTCGGTCCCCGTCAACCTTGGCGCGCTCCGCGCGCTAGGGGTGGAGGATCTGGTGCAGATCCAAGAAGTCCGCGCGGACCGTCGAAAGTTTACGTTTCTGCGGCTTTTTTTCCGCCCTCGTATTTCGAGTAGGGGATCGACTACATAATTGATTAACCCCGAAACTGATTTGTTTGTCGAATCGACCAGACAAAATACGTATAATGTTCGTAGATCTACAAACTGTATGCATAATGTTCGTCTGTCCATTCCCTCAGATCGCACGTTGCCAGGCTGCCAGGATGCCATCGGGCCTCCAGGGGCCTGTCCGGCGCCACGACCAGATTCTCTTCGAAATAGTGGCCGCAACGCTCCCCAGGCGAAGTGCCGGGGTGGGCGTTGTCAGACCTTGGGATTGGCGATAGAGGATCGCGAGAGCGTTCTTCTTTTCCTCCCCAGCGCAACGCTCGTAACCCAGCCTCCTTCCTCCTTGGCAATTAACGCTAACGATCGCGTCCGGCACTTCAGTGGGAGTACGGCTTTTGCGGTGCACCATGAGGGAGCTTACAGGGAGCGTTGCTTCGTGCCATGCCC